CAAGCCCTATATTCAGAGTAAAATAAAATGCAGCTTCGTCAAGACGTGGTAAACAGTCTATGGGTTAAGAAGAAAACACAGTTATTGATATAAAATAAGATATTAGATTAGAATATGCACCTACACGTTTGACAGGACTTTTAACAAGACAATTGTCATCGAGTGACATCAGCCGTCACTATTCAAATTAAGATAGTCTTGTCTTGTCAAATTAAGATACTCTTTAAGAAGATTAATTAGAAAAAAAAATTGGAACTAGCTTTTCCAGACCAGAAACTTGGTTAAGAGAGAGTTGTTAATGCGAGTCTTTGGGAGAAATGGGTGACATCAATTTATACCGTCTGCTCATACTCTTAAGGTAGAAAATAGTAAGAACTTCGAGATGGTTCATCGCGGGAATCGGCTACAAATAGTATAGTCCAAGAATAGAGCGAGGCTACTGGACAGACGTCGCACTCATATCTCCAGACTGCAAACTTTTTCATCGCATCATATTGAATAAGACACGATGTAACGGTTTAAATTAAGGATTATATTAAGTACCGTGCGAGTACTACCCACTTAAATTAACACCTTTAAATGTTTAAACCAGGAAATGTATTAGTTAAACTTATTTACAATTTATTTTATAAAAGGCTTGGCTGCAGTGGTCACGGGGGAACTACTGATGATGGTGTTCCTAATGTCAAAATAAAAACTACTATGCCATCCGTTTCGTCATAGTTGCTATTTGGCGAAACTAGCTGGGTCCGTGCATAACTGACTCACGGCATCTTCATCCAATTTATTTGATCTAGTGTTTTAAACACTGAATCCCGATTAACAAAATTTAAAAATTAGCGTTTTAATCCGGTACAAGTGTTTTATTTAGATTTTTTAAAATAATTTTTGATCTGTTGTAAGATTAACTAACCATTGCTGTTGTAAGATATCCAAAACGGCCGTATATAGCGCGTTTTATACTGTTATTTTTTACATTAAAGATCTATGTTTAAATTGAAAAAAATTCACAGACGGGACTTGAACCGGCATTGTCCACCATGATAAGTTGAAATATTGTTAAGATTTTTCTGGCTACAATATTAAAATTTGAATTCACATACTAATTACAGTTAATATGAAAGATAAAATTAATGCGACACTAAGCTTCAACCGCACACATTATGCCAATAAGCGATTCCCCTAATTCATTAATCCATTTTTAATGGTTATGTTGCAATTTTATAATGCGCCGGTCCTTAATGGATTCGATGCATGGTCGGGGACTCTCTTTTAAGATTAACGTTACCTCTAGCTACAGGTTATGCGGCAGGTAGTGGAAAATTTAAGTCCTTAAGTTTGCGTGCGAAACGCGCGTACGCATTACGTTAAAATATACACAATTTTAATATCCGCTACTCAATTCTCCCTAAGGCGGACCCTTAATTATTAAAAGAGAAGTTGGCTCACATACACGCGATAGCTTGTAAAGAGAATTGTTAATGTGATGCTTTAAATAAATCGCTATTAAACGGTTTAAAACAGATTTGTGTTCTTTACTAAAGCACTATGCTTGCGTTACAGCCATGATCTTGGTAACGTTGGGTCATAGTAAGATTTTAATTAACCAATATAATTTGGTTTGAAAACTTTAATATTTTATACTTATATGTTGTTCACACAGCACACGAGATGTGCATGAAACCAATAGATTCAAAAAAAATCGACGATGACATGCCAGACTCGATTAGAGCTACAGCACGGAAGGCCGTAGATGCCGATTCAAGTCCTGCCCAAGTTGTAAATTTTATCAATTAAATTTCGTGTTTTAAACGGTTCAAAGTGTGTTATTTAATGCGTTCAACTCGTGTGGATACGATGTAATTTGGTGAGTATTTTGCGCAAGAGCCATAAAGTTTGATTAGAGAAAATTTTCGCTGTACGTCCGTGATAAATCGTTTTCGATCATCCATTAAGAGCGAAGGGGCTGGAAGTGTCAGCAGTTTACGCGTCTTATTGCTTGTCGTGTGACTCGGCTCCTCGTAGCGACGCGCAATAAAAACACCAACCATATTGACCAAAATAACTCTTGGCAGTCACTCCAGAGCCCGACAGATACGTAAGTGAATCGGCTAACAAACTCAAGAATTATAGACTCGGAGGCTTTTCCCGCCGACTTACAAAATCTCGCTTAAATGTACACAACATATCGGCATATTATGTTATTTTGTCCATTTTTAACTAATTCATTTTAGTTATTAATATCAGCCGACCAAACCATCCATTTTTCTTCAGGATACGAACCCAGGACGTCTGGCGTTTAACACTTTTAGCTACGGTAGCGGAAAACTAGGTATAACGTAGCGTAAAAACTTACAAAAATACAACAACAAATACGTAAGTAAGAAATAGATTCGATTATCACAAAACTTCCAAATCACTATAATCAGTAATTATTAAAATATTGTAATAGAAAGACCGGTAGCATCGTACAGTTTAGCAAACGATTTTCAAGAAATGTCTTTTAAAATATGTATTAGTATTGTTGTTTATTAGAAGTCTATCAATAGTTGTTAGGGCTTAAAATGATGAATCATTCAATTTATACACGTAACAATTCCAAGACGTGCTCTTCGTCTGTTATAATTTTGTTTAAACCGACTCACCGCCATTAGTTTGGTTAATTTAGTAACTTATTAATAGGTCATTTTAATGTAAAATTTAATTAAACAAACTGCAATCTATCAATCACTTACACTTTTAGTTTTAATTTGAATAAAAAGTAAAATACTTCAGAAACCTCAATTAGTTTTATAAATGAAACGCCTGCTTTCACTTTTCTAGAATTTTACTAACTTGAATTTTTATGTAAGAAATGCTTTGTTGTATTGAATATTTGCAATTAATGTGCTTAGATTGAATTAATAGTAGATAGTATAAAAGGAAAAAAATAAAAATAATTATAATAAAAAAATTGTTAATTTGACTTATTTAATCGTTCCGTTTTTTGAAAGTGTCCAAAATAGGAATATTGCAAAATATTATTGTGAAATTTATTCAGCGCGCCGCGCGGTAAAACTAAGAAAATATTCCGAGAACTTCAGGAATTTTGTTTATTTGTTTTCAGTAACTTGGTAAATACTCACGCCTTGGATAAAAATTCGAATAATAACAGTCCATGACACTAACAGATTCACTGCATCAGTATAAATTCCACTAGCAATTTGTTTATAGTTAGTTTCACTCGCGAATTATATCGAAAAAACGTTTGACATTTCATAAATTAACCTCACAAGTGTCATCACCGCTCGCGGAATACGTCAAATCACATAAAGCCACCGACGCGACTGAAGTGTATCGCGGTCGAGCCATACCGCGTCTTTCGAAAATTGCGCCATCTCAGTAAGCACTCGGGCAAAATTAACAACACAAAAACACCTTGAGCACACTTCATGCCCTACAGAGCTTTCCTAAATATTCGAAGCCTAATACTAGATAATGTTTACATCGCGAAATGCCGACACCCGACCGACCGGAAGTCAAACCCGAGCAAACACGACAACTATGTAAAATATTGCAGGATCGCGATCGCATTGTTGACATTCCCGAATAAAAATCACGAAAATCTCCCATTAATTGTATGAAAAGGCGATAATAAGTATTTTTCACTTACCTAGGATGGCTGCAGAAGGTGAGGTGAAAGGGCGAATTTTGATTAGATGACAATTTAGGAGTAATTTAAAAGAATATACTCTTATTGGTATGCGAAGAATGGCACAAAGAATCCCGACAACGCACGCGACGAATGCGCACCTCGTTTGCGCATATGCTGACAGAACTTCACGGACGTTTCTCCCCTCGCCCCGCAAACACCCGGCGATGTTAGGGAGTGTGCGTGCCTAGAGTGGTCAAACGTGAAATTTTGTGTTCAGACACACGCACACAATCATAAATTATACCTGCGTAGCTCCCGTTCGCCGCCATCTTTGTTACGAAACGCAACGAGTAGGCACTCTACAATTTATTATAGAAAACGACTAGAGAATGCTAACATTTCAACTTGTGCTGCCATCTCGTAAATCTTGTAGCAATATTTTTAACTGTTTCGCTCACTAGATGACTCTTTTAGAGATCAGTGTAAAGTGGGTTCTTAACATGGAAATTTAGTGACTTATTTTTAATATTTTTTAAACCTAATGATACTTTGTACTATCATTTTGGTAATAAAAAGTGAAAATAATCCTAAAAATTCTACTGATAAGCCAGGGAAATGAGACGACTATCATTAGTTTTAATCAAACAATTTATTAATGATAAAAAAGTAACTAACATAACAATTGCTTCTTAATTTAATACTGTAACATATTGACTGGAAAAAGATGTAAAAAATGTTGTAATATATAATAATGAACAACGACATATGAAAAGTTCCGGTAGATACATATTTTAACTTTGTCGAGTTTAAGAGTCATATAGGTAGGTATATACTACAGAAATCAACAGGACTTACGTTTTTTGACAATTTAGATAGGTACTCCTAAGTACTGAAGTATTTGAAGTAAGTTTAACTTAAAACAAGTTTTTAAAAAGATATAGGTAAGTACATACCTAAGCTATAAATAATAATATATGTTTTAATGTTTGCGACAACACTTACATTGAATAACTTAAATTATAATAAATTTGCTACTAGATATTTAGATATAATAATTACGAATAAAGATGTTACTAATCGTTACTCTATATTAAATAGATATTCAAATCCATAATAACATTTAGTTTTCATTAAAATAATTTCTAACTTACGCATTAAGAATATTTATTAATTATTAACCCTACAAAAATCGTGTATAATTTAATAATGACGTCGTTCAAAAATAATGCATAGATATGTTAAGCTTAATTTAGTAAGTTTTAGTATAGAAATGTAAATCAACCAAGTGCAGTATTATTTTATCATAACACTCAACACGTGCATATACGAAACAGTCATAATATAGTTAAAACTTAAATTACGCGTATTAATCAGTTTTGCAACGTTCAGGGCAGACAACTTTGACCTCGTGTTGGGGTAAATCTCTCACTACAATCGCATGGAAAACCATGTTCGTCGTTGCCAAAATGTATTCACAGACCGAAAACCACGTGAACGCTGAAAAAATATTTGTTATTGGTTATTAGTAGATATTAAGTCCATTTCCTACAACTACTGAATGACAAACAGACATATAATTATTGTCTATAGTTAAGTGAATACAACACATATAAATAAAACTTTATAGGTTTAACGTATTTTTGGCCTCTAATGCTGTAAAGGGTCAGAAATGTCGGTAAGTGTTTTATTTAAATAGGCATTTTTATAAACACATGAAGTGTTTATAAAAATTTAATGGCAACACCAAGATATTAAACTAGTTGTTTCGTTTAGATTGATATTTAAACTTAATTTTACATGGTAAAATTACGCTACTTATTTAATACTTTTAGTGTACCATAACGTGTTTCTTTTTATTTAAATAAATTTTTAATGAATTATAAAGATTTTAGTTACGTTAAAAATTATCCTGATTCAAAAGTTACTATGGAACTTCATTCCTTTCTAAGAAGTAAATTTCTTGCGCATTATACATATTAAAAAGCAATTTTAGATTGAAATCAAATTACTACACTTGTCCCAGCATTCACAACGTTCCGAGCTTTTGCTGAGAGCAATTATTTTTTCAATCTAAAACCGATTTTTAATTTTCGAGAATAAAGTAGTTGAAATTCACCTAGCGGTCGGCACAGTAAGCGGTGCCGTAAGAAAGAAACAATAAGACCAACAGTGGCTGCTATCGCTACGAAGAAAAGACTCCACACAAGTCTGTTGGTTCGAACAGGCTCCAAAACATCACTGGCGATGCACCCTATCCGAGCTCTACATAGCATGTGTAAAATGGAAGCCACCATAAACACTATAAAAATCTTTTCATGGATAACTGAAATACAAAAGGTAAATTACTTCATGTTTAAATATCACAGCAAGCTTCAAGTAAGTCAGAGAATTCAATTTAAAAAATAGTGCTACATTAACACTAGATCTAGTATAGTAAGTATTAATTTGGCGACTATCCAAATGTATTGGACTCAAAAAAAGCAAAAATCAACTTTGCAAACTGCATTGCAGATCTTAAAGATAGCTAGGTATAAACTCTAACTTCCCGCGTTTCAATCGTCACGACAGAGTTCTATAATGTTTAATTGGATCAGTAGTTTTCAAGGAATGCACAAACATACAAGCGAGAACACGTACACTTTTTATTTCAACTAAATAGTGGATGTAAGTAGTAATGTAGTAGTCAAGCTTATTAATGACTTATTTATAACTTTACAATATACATATATCTGTGACTTACAATAATTTTCTCTGTTAGAAACATATGTAACTCCGGTGAGAGCAAACAGCTCAACCAAGTTCAACCAATAGCAAGCATTGCCCAGTTTTGTTGCTTTAATGCGTGTCTAAAAAATTAGGACAAAATTATATTTGAAATATTTTTTCGTGATTGCAATTATTAATAAACGAACCTAGATCACGAATTTAAATGTCTCTAAATAACTGCAGAAAATGATTTTATATAACGTTAAGTTATTATTTCAAGCGAAACTTCTATAAAGGACATTAGTCCACATCAACTATGAATCCTTATTAAAAACCCATAAGTCAAATACTTTCTGTAGTTTACGCGAGTAGTACACATTTAAATAAAACACTTTAACGGTTTAAAACGCGATATATATTAGTTAAACTTATTTGATATAGTTATTTTAACTAAGGTCCGACGTTTCGGATGCTTTGCAGCAGCCTTGGTGGACTCGTGGTCTACGGCTGCTGTAAAGCATCCGAAACGTCGGGCGGTAATTAAAATAATTTTCAAATAAGTTTAACTAATATATATCACGTTTTAAACTGTTAAAGTGTTTTATTTAAAAGCGTAAGTCTTTAAATTACTCTTAGTTGGTATAGGCGGGTCTTAGAGATTACGTAATTAACGTAACTAGTTTTACTACCTGTTCATCCTTTATATGCACGGTGCGTTCTCTATGGTAGTTATAATAAAGAGATCCTATCAATAATCTTGGTCCTAGATGATAGGCGATGCATATCCTCCAAACATACCTTTGTGGGCTGATCCCAGTAATTGCACTTATTGATGGCACTACGTTATAAACCTGGAAAATGATGGTTAGATGTATCAGTTGCCCACCGCTGGGACTAGAACTTCACGTATATTATAGTTTCTAGATTTTAAACAATGTTAAATTTATTTTTGACTCTATCTGATACCTTCTCTTCTTTCATTGGGGATTTATTTATTTTAAAAGGAGTTATGAAAAACCATACATACTCTACAATGGGTCTCATGTATGTCATCTGCCTGGAATAGAGAGGCTGTCACGTAACAAAATATCAATGCACCTAGTGGAAGCCAGAGGGCAGTTAAACAGATTTTCCTGAGAGCACATGTCCACAAATCACCCTAAAATATATGTAAAAAGAATTGAAAGTGAACAATCGAAATCTCTGAACGAGTGTGATCATTATATCGACGCGCCTACCGTATGCTCAACTACGATTAATGCACTATTCACATTTTCTGTATCATTTATGCGATATTTATTTTGTGATAAAGGTTGTGCTGCGTCTTCCTGTGCGTCATTTAACATTTTCTTTCTCTCACTCACTTTTCATTACATTATTTATATTTTCACCAAACAGAATGCGTTCGATACGTCATTTTCCGTCCGTATTGATCTGCTCTGCAGACATCTTATGAACGAGCTTTTAGACTGAAGGAGTCTTTAGAAGCCTTCATATTTAATTGAACATGCTCCAAAATGAAAGTCCTCGCACTATTTCCGTTGATTTTGTGAGCACTGTGTGATTCTAGCCTCAATTCCCACTGAAATTGATGCCTGCGTGGTTGTAGTGCGGTTTTGACTGGACTTGCGCATTTCATGCCATTAACTAGAAAAAATAATGCACCCTTTGTTCCGCTCTAATTGCAGCTTGACGTTAAAAGCGAGAAATGGGACAACCTAGTTGTAATATTTTCCTACTTCTTTCTTTTCAATGTCGTTAAAATGGTGCGAACCTTTTCTATGTTAATTTATACTCCAGAGCTTTTCTTCGTTCTTTTTACGATTCGTTCATTTAATGTAAATATTCTTTGCAAAAGTTCTATGAAGGGTTCGTTAATTAAATATAGTAACATAAAAATAGGTTACAGTAGGTGCAGGAAGGTAGTTACTATTCTTATTATTATTATGTGTGTAGGTAGCGGAAACACCTACATATCTTCACAATAAAAAAGTAACAAAAATTGTTTTTAGGATTATTCTTTCCTTGAAACAGCTCCAAGAAACTGTAGTTTCTAAGGTTATTGATATAGCTGAGCAGAGTGTGTCATGCATATATTAAAATTATGTTTACGGATGAGAGCCTCCCAACCTTTTTTTCAAGTGTTTGAATTGCTTGTCTTTGTAAGCTAACTAATATCTTTAAGTACCATAAAATAAATATTTTGCTCAATTGAAGAGTTGGTTTAGGTTCTTTACCCAAAGAGTTAGGTTAAAATTAGGTTATTAAGCAAATATTTATTACGATACAATAACAGTATGAATAAAACAATAGTTTGGATCAATCAAGATAAAATTGAATAAAAATACGAATTTCTCTTAATTACATTTCATACAATGATGGCTTAGTCTCGATATTTTACTGAACATTGTAAATTAACTCTAAGTTATGCATTGATAGAGGACATAATTTATTATAACAAAAAACGGTAAAACAACTGTCTACAGAGACATTAAAGGATATGTCCATAACACGACAGATAATAAATATTATTATCAATACTAGTCTGTGAAGATTATGTTTGATGCATTAAGAACTGTGGATGAATTTCGGTGGTTGGGGTTAGAATTGTTTTAGGTCGAAAGAATTGTTATATTAAATTTTGATACCTATCTTAAATTAATTTAGGATTCTAAAACTTATATAGTTATTATTGCCGGTTACGTTCACTGATTGTACTGTAATATTTATTATGTTTTAATTATATACCGAATACTAACGGCAAATATGTTTTTGTTTAATAATTTGTTATTGTGCACAACTGTGCTTATATTTCTGATATATTTTGAGACATCAGAGGCTTCATCCCACTGGATGGTAACCGAAAGCGGTTTAATACAGCCTAGGGTAAGTTAATAATAGTAAAAAAAATATTCCTTGCTTCAAACTTAAATCACTAGCCGATAAGGCAGTATTAATGTTCTGGATATTATTTCAGTTGGGTTCTCCCTTTGAAATGGCTCGCCCCTATGATTTGCTATCGTTTTTAAAACAAGAAACTCGATGGGATGAAATTGTCACCTCATACCATGAACTCTCAAAGAAACAGGAATATTTAGACAGCCTTTGGTCAGACATAGAAAGAGATACAGATTTGGGTGTTGATGTTGGAAAAGATGAAAACTGCATGAGAGCGGGTCCTCTCAATATGATTGATTGGTACCATGTACCATTAGAAGATGGAACAAGCAAGAATATACCTGAAGAAGAATTCCTGCTTCCTGGTCACTATGGCCCAAACACTGATGTACCTGATTGCAAAAAGATATCTTCTCTTACATTCAGTATGTTTGCTTATGAACACTTAAATGTAAGTTGAATTTTATTCTGTTTAATTACTATTGCTCAAAGTAAATTTATAGTGAGTCTAGTTTTTAAAATATTATCTATGTTCTTCTGTCAAATACTATGTTTATTTGTATGTATTTCTAGATTATTTATTGCATTTTATATTTATTAGCCTAGAAAGCAGTATCAAGGACTGTTGCATGTATTTATAATTGTTTTCATTTGTGGCCTTAATAAAACTATAATTTTTACAGAGTATGGTAATGAGAAATAACATTTCTATTACACCGGAGTATCCATCATTGGATATTATTTCTCCAGGTGCTTCAGTTGAACAGCTAGGTCATTGGTTAGCTGGTATACTGAAAAAAAATAGCTCTTCGTGGTTGCATTATAATTTAGCGGCATTGTATTGGAGAATAAAAGGCAATGCACCGAAAGCCCTGGAATGTTGCCGGAGAGCTGTGCACTATGCTCCTAGGTAACAGATTCATTGATTATCTTGCTTTCTAGTCTGCAATAGTTTAGTTAGGGGTTGTACATTATAGTATTCATAGTCCTGTTAGACCTTTGAACCAGTTTAATAGTTCGATGGTATGGGTGAAATGGTCAGCTAATGGTGTTGACTGATCACTCTGCCTTCTATAGGTGTCCCCAATAGAAAATAATAGCTCGATAGTTGAATATATTTCCTATGTTAACCACTAGAGGCCTGAATTTTGTAATATGAGGAACATGGTTTAGCAGGGTATACAAATATGATCAATAGTGTATGCTAGCTTATGGAATTTCACTTTATTATCAGTCAAAGGAGTATTATTTATTTATCTTACAAATAATTTTTCAGGCAGTATAAGGATATAGCTCTCTTAAATTTGGGATCTCTTTTGTACCGCGCCAAAAAATATGCTGATGCAATTACAATATTAAACGGAGCACTTGACCATGATTCACACAATTCTATTGCGCATTTTGTACTTGGAAACATTTATACCTATTTAGGCGAGTTCAATATATCACTCGCACATTACAAAGTCTCATTGGGGCTTAATCCCAAGATGGATATTGCTAAGAAGCATAAATATGCTACTTTATGTCATGTACATTTAGGTGTAAGGATAAGGAAACTAAAAGTGTAAGTATATTCACTTATTGTTACAAGTCTTTCATGGTAATTACTTGATTTTAGAATAAAAATATTATAGTGTACTGGGCACTCAAAGGTTAATTAAGTACTCTTTTCAAAGCCTTGAAGAGTATGTTTTAAACCATTTTGTTGTGCCCACTTTTGTGGTAACATGTATGTGTGAGTCTTAGCTCCTAAAACCTTTTACTATGTGGGAGATCTTTAAGATCTTAATGAATTTAAAAAAAGTTGTATTTTTTTAGGAAAATAGACAAACTACGGGAGGAGTTAAGTGATTATAGTCTCAGGGAGTCGAATTGGATTAAAACACAAAGTGAATTTTTAAAAACAATGAAACCTATTGAAGCATATGGTAAAGTATTTGTTTTTGTAATATCAAAAAATAAATTGAAATATTATTTCTCCCTTTTAAACTAACAGTTAAAGACATATTTTTATTTGCCAGCCAAACTGAAACAAATTATGATTGTCTTTGGAATTTAATCCACGACCTCTCGTGCTTAACACAAGGCTAGGTAACCATTCACTTACCGAGTCTTTCAGGTATACAATTCATAGAAAAGTGTTTTACAAGTTCTTAGTTTGAAAATTTCATTTTCAGATTATAAAAATGTAGAAAAGAACTGTGTCAAAATGTCCGAATTAACGGGTCTACAGATAAGCCATTTAAAGGCATCTGGCGACAGATACTCGCTCATAAAATATTTTTTTGATGGACCAATATACAACGATAGACTGTTGGAAGTGAGCGGTACAGCCAACTTGGATGCAATATACACTCTACAGAGGATTGTTAGTCACATTCAAAGGCATGCTAATATGGCGCCAGAGATCTTTGTTCATTTAAACAAAGTGACGGTGGATGATGGGAAAAGTGTTGATGATGCGACGTTAGAAGACCGTAACAGTAAATTATAAATATATCTTATTGATAATTTTTTAAATCTGATTGATTAAACTACTGCCTTCAACGTTACAGAAAAGTCCCACCAATCTTTAGCAGATGAAATAAAACAGGAAGTAAGATCCTCAGAGCCAGAGAAGAAAACAAACTCCAATGAAGAACAATTCACTGAATATGAAACTGGCATATTCTTGTAAGTTATTACAGCAGATAAAATTCGTAATATAATATATCATAATACAAAAAAATCAACTTTTAACGGTTCCTACTAGTATCTACGATTATCAAATTTAGCAAACCGGTTACCCTATACATAATCATTCGTATTTTTATTTTGTTGTATCTGATTTGTTTAATTCTTTGATTAAAACGGCAAGTTCTAGAAATAATTATTGATTTAGTAAGTTAGTATTGATTTATTAAGTTAAGTAGATAAAAATCAATCAAGTTATGGACTACTGCTGAAATTATGACTCCCTTTCTCGCCCCAGTTTCATTTAAATATGTTGTGCAAAAAATTCCTTACCATTTAAAAATCGAAAATAAATTGAAAAAAATTTTCGACTCGGGCAGGACTTGAACCGGCATCGTCAGCTTTCCGTGCTGTTGCTCTACCAATTGAGCTACCGAAAAATTTTTCAATTTATTTTCGATTTTTAAATTATATAGTGCCTTCATGTGCAATAACATGTGAAAAATATTAATGTTTTCAAAATTCCTTACCACCCAATATTGATTACTTAATTCTTGAATTATCAAATGTAAGTTGTCCGCTTGTTTTGTGCTGTAATGTTACTACTATTTGAAAATATATTATTTCAGTTGTAATTCACAGATATCCACCTACCTTAAAGATAAATAGAAATGAAGAGGACTTCGACAAAGAAACTGACTGGCCTTCGGATCACATGTGCATCAGCGCTGCTCACACCTTCCCGGATAAGGTAGAGGCTGTGTATCCTGTCTTTCTGCCTCTAGAAAATAAGGGAATTAGGTAATGGAGTTTTTTTACAAAACAGTGTTTTATGTTTGATTTTTGTTAATTTTTTCTTTTTCTTTTCTTTATGTTTTTAAATAACGCTTTACATTGATATAGGCGCCCCTTACAGAGTGAAGGCACTGCTCACAGATAAAATCGGGGTCCCCTCCAGCGAGGAACATGAGTTGCCTTGGCATCCGCCTATTTGTCAAAGCGATAAGGATGGGAGAAAATCTTATAAGTAAGTACATATTTGGCATGTTATTAAAATAGGCAAGCTACACACAATTTGCTTTATTCAGCTTATGAATTGTCTTTGTCTTCTATTCAATCCCTCTAAATCAATAGTCATTTTATTTTATATAAACTTATTTTTCAGAGGTCAAACTGTTTTGTATACTTTTGTTTTATTAATTCAGGCAACAGTTGGTAACTGAAGTGGTAGAAAGTGATCTACTAAGGCAGAAGTTACTGGAATATGTTACGGATGGAGAAATAGACAAAGCCGAGCATATGCAGGACGCTGAGATTGGACATCGGATTTTTGTTGCTATGAAGAAGGTATGTCTTTCCAATTGGTCATGTACCAAGCTATTTCGAATAAACTCTTAACAACCTTTGCTTCCTCATATCGCAGGATTTATGGTTTTATATAGATATTTCCGCGACTTTGTTCGCTTTGAATAGTAATGCTAAGCTATATAAATTATAGCTGTTACGTAATGCTTGTTTTTTCACTCTTTCTTCGCTCTCATTAGTTGCAGTGATAGGCTAAAGCTTTCCTCAATAAGTGGTCTAACCAACACAAAAATAATTTTTCAATTCGAACTAGTACTGTTATATTAAAACCAGCTTTCTAATAATAGTATGGACTTAGTAAATGCAAGTTTTAATTTTCCCTCTTCACTTCTTAAGTGACTGCTAAAAAGAAATGATTTTTTCTTAGTAACTTAAAGTATATTCACCACTTCTAAATAAGAATAACACATGTCGATTAGACAATCCAATTCTTCCCACTCGGGTCATTTTTTATTTAATAACTAACGACGCGCTGCGGCTTCGCTCTGGTGCATAGCTGATATTAAATACACTACAGATGAACTGTGAACCTTGCATATGAAAACCTAGGAATTACTCTATTAATAAAAACCACGTCAAAATCCGTTGCATAGTTTTATAGATTTAAATATATATTGGGAGAGAAAAAGCGAATTTGTTTCCTATCTATATTTAATCCATTTATATTCTGTAGAGGATCGCGCCCAAATGGATCACACAAGTTCTAGCGTCGTTGTACTGGCGTGTGCGAGGAAATAGAGTGAACGCATTACACTGCCTCCAAGCTGCTCTCAAATGCGTTCAACCCAAGTACAAAGAGGTTGTACTTGTGTCCCTGGGGTCTGTGTTTATCGAGATGGGGTGCTTTGAGGAGGCTGTCACCGCTACTGAAGAAGCAATCAGGATGAATTTATATGAGGTTTGTTTCGATTTCATAAATGAAGAATAATTTAAAAGGTAGAACGTACCTTTCAAATGATAATTTCTTCTACTGATTTTTGTACTTTAAATATAGTTTACACTAGCTGCGACTTCATCCCGAAAAAATTTTTTTTTGGGTTTTAAAATTTTTTTTGCAAACCTCATCTTTATAAACTATATCTTTATTATGTTACCGACGACGTCGCTTCCCGACGTTCTTGCTGCTAATTTTTTATAATAAAATAATAACGAGCACAAAGTGATCCCGTTACCCCCCATGGGCAGGACATGGGCGAACACATTTCCAAATCCGTGGCACTAAACGGTTAAATTTGGAGACAATATCTTCTATCTATTTGACTTGTGTGCCTTGCCGACAGAAACCATCTATTGTTTCCCTAGAATTCAAACCCAGCACTTCTCGTGCTTAACACAATGCTAGCACTTTTAACCATGCAGCTAAATAGGCGGTAACAAAACATGTGGTGTAGCCTAGTTTTGTTAAAAATAACCTGACACAAATTTAATTACAGCCAGCAACAAACTTTCTCCTAGCAGAGCTGAATATGATAAAGCGGCATCGACAGACCCACATGTTCCATCTGAAGCAGGTGGTTCGGGTAGAACCTGGATTTATGAAGGGTTTAGCTAGGAATCTACTGAACGCCTGGGCCTGTATTATGAAGCAAGTTAATAAGTTTCAGGTGATCGGTGAGTTGTTATTTTTGCAAAACCTCTTGCTTTAAGCGCGATATATATTACTTAAACTTATTTGAAAATTATTACGGGGAGACCCGTGACCACGGCTGCTGCAAAGCATCCGAAACGTCGCGTGTTTGTTAAAATAACTATATCAAATAAGTTTAACTAATGTATACCGCATTAAACCGCTAAAGTGTTTTATTTAAATGTATACTTTATTGTTAAATAATTCAATAACATATAAAATATTTAGATTTCAGCGAAGGCGATATATGTACACAAGTGGAGCCGGGAATCAACATGGTGTGTGAAAAAGGGGGTGAAAACTGTCACATGACTAACATACAGTGTTTCAGCAGCCAAGAGAGAGGTATGCTATGCACGATTCTTGTAATTATGAAATCATGGAATCCTGGGAATTAAGCCCTGTTCAGCTGAAGGTAATAGTAAAGTGAAATCCCGTTTCCCCTCGTGGGGCATGGGGCGAACACATTTTTTCGTCCAGCTCAATCATCGTTTTATGTACAGGCAATTAGGTGATCAGAATTATGCCCTGCCCGACCGAAGCAATCTATTATTTCCCCATCATTCGAAACCTCTCGCGTTTAACTTCAGCGGTAGACTCGAAGGTGATAAAGATGACTACATTTTTTTATTAATTGTGTTAAAATGTTAAATAATTTCAGCCGATACAAGCGTAATGATGAAGCTACTTGAACACAGCGACGAAACGCATGAATCGAAGGATCTCATGAACGACAAGTTTTTCGACTTCGTCGTAGAAAATACGCCGTCAGACAGGACTGATAGACTCACGCATCAAGCTAATTACGACCATATGATGAAGGGCGTGGAGACTGCATTACAAGGATGTGGCCCTTTGGGTTGCAAGAGTAAGGAACAATAAGTTTTTTCAGAGGACAGACAAGCCCCATTTGATAGCAAAACATCTATAACTTAAATTTAGTGCTCTGTTGCATTAGCTGTAAACTTTACTTTTCAATCTGATGCATAATTGCTGGACGAAATTTTGATACTTCAGATTTATAGCAATATGAGATGAGATCTTGTAATGTGCGTGTGAACTCTCGTTCCCCCTCGTGGGGCATGGGGCGAACACATTTCTGTGTCTGTTTCACTGATCCGTTCTTTAACAGGCAAGTAGTTGATCAGACTTCTGTGTCCGGCCCGACCGGAACAATCGATTGTTTTCCCTGGATTCGAACCGACGAGTCTGACGATACGTTTAACCATTTGGCTACAGAGGCGGTCGAGATCTTGCATGTTTTAATAAAATGAGAAAGGTTTTGGGACCCGGGCTGTTTATAAGCCTGGCTGTGGAGTATTTTATCACATTTTCGTTTATACTTATTAAAATTTTGAGTTGTTTCGTCCATTATATATGTTTATTTGGCAGAATTTATGTTATATAATGTGAAATATATTCAATCTTTTACCTTTTTTTTCTCCATTTTGTATCATAGGTCTGCAACCAGCTGATTTAGCATTAACGGAAGAGGAATGCTCACACCATTTTGTACAGTTGGGATATTGGCTTCACACTTCACACATTGTCAGTTTTAAACAGCTCTTCACTGATTCTAATTTAAGGTAAAACTTTTATATTTAAATTTGTTTTTTTTAATTGTCTGTAGTTTACGCAAGTAGCACACTTGTACACAAACATTACTTTCAATTTTTAAACTCGAAACATCGGGCCCTACGTAAGAGAGCTTAACTATATTTCACGTATTAAACTGCTAAGAGTTTTATTCAGACGAAAAAAGTTACGTCATTTTTTGAAATGCATATGCAATAGTAGCTTAATGTGGGGACAGTCGACGGCAGTTTCTGAGCCCAAGGCTCGTATCAGTCGTTAAATCCCGCCTACTTGTACCAACATGGTGTCTTATTTCATATACTTCATAGGAATGACGTCTGCGCCTAAAAGTGGACCACCGATAGGTTGAAATGTAATTTTAATAATGATTAATATAAATTAACTTACGAATGAAACGCATTGTTGTAAGTAGTTATTTTTTTAAACTTGGCAAAAGACGACGACAAATATGGCGGCTTTCGAACCATAGAGAACTAGAAATTACCTATTATAGAGTAAAGTGAAACACAGATGACACAGGAATCAAGAACTGTGGACCAAACTACATTAATATTTAAAATCACTTTCAAGACCTCCTTTCTTTAAATGTTTTGTTGTGGGGATTCTTCCTTCTATGGCTTTTACACATCCTTATGTAAATGTTAAACTAAAGAAATTCTCCCATTATAATAATTTTTAGATTGTGCTCTTTATTAAGTGAATGTTCATTATTTCAAAAAAAATAAACCTTGTGAGAAAATCACGATTTCATGTAAATTGTGTATTTGTTAACCAAAAATACCTAGGTAGAAAAAATACACTTTAATGAAAGTTTAATTGGGTTTTTCTTTACAAACATGTAATCTTACTAATAGACAATATATTTAGACTACCATCGGACATAGTTACGATGACACCATCGAACAAAAAGATCCCAGAGTGCAAGCTGACCATGGAGCCTTTAGATGACTTCTATTTGGAGCGCCTGAGTCGAGTCGACACGGAAGGCTGGCAGCCCATCATGACGCTCACGCACCAGTTTGCAGAACTCTTCAATTACTTCGACTACGTCACCCTTGGAGCAAAGATCGCGAAGTACGTGGAGACTGTAAGTGAAATCGTTCAGTATCAGGAACGGGATGGTTTAAAACTTGCCCATTAATAAGAATCGATTACGACAAAATGGCAGACACAGAAATATGTCTATTCTATTTTTACTAACATGATTCTAGTTCAACAAGAGCTGACCTGTTCTTATCAAATAAAAACCAACATGGCGTTTAGATGAAATCAACAAACATGTTAGCTTTGTAAAATTAAATAGTAATATGTAATTGTATCCGTATTTAGAGGCCGACATCGTGGGTGGGTGCCCTTAGTGCAAGTTGGTGGTGCGGCGCAGGTGGGCACGGCTCTTGTGCGGTCCGATGCGCGGCGCTGGCGCATACCTTGGCTCCGCCCAACTATGCTCCTCAGCCACTCCGCGCGCTCGTTGCTCTCCTGCACATGTAAATAGATTATTATTTTTAATTAAAAACCAAAACAAAAAAAGGTTTACATGCTTATTTAGATCCATAATTTGAATTGACCTAATACGAGGTGCTACCTAGTTCGACCCGATGTAAAACTATGAACATTACCTTATATGACAATGATGTATAGTATAGGACCCGACGTTAGTACACAAAATATAGTTTGTGGGTTTTTCCTACTTCATTCAGTGTTTAATTTCAAACAAAGTACAAATAAAGTCTTCTTGTAACAGGGTATATTGCAAATATATGGGTCATTATTAAAATGGTCGTCTTTTTTCAGGCATTCAAAACAGCGGGACGCTAAAGATGTCGCCTACCTCTCTTTCTACGCGTCACCGAAGAGTAAGATCGAGTCGTTTTTAGTGGCGGTATCGCATACTTACCTCGTAAGTGTCTTTCTATAGTATTTATTTAAAAAAGTGTAAATATTTTTGAATGAATATACAAATGTTTGAAAATTTTAAATAAGAGCAACAGCATGGAACGTTGTGGATGCCGGTTCAAGTCCTGTCTGCCCGTGTTGAATTTTTTTTCAATCTAAAATCAATTTTCAATGAATATTCACCTTTTTAAAGTCGAGCGTTTATTACACTCAAACAAGGTCCAGCGTTCGAAACCCGACGGGATAAATGTTGTATCCATTATTTGGAATTCTTCTAAGAACATGCTGCTTGGAGTTCGAAAGGTGTCATCGAGTTTTGGTTTACTGTATTTGGCTATTATCCATACTACAGTGGTCGTTAAAACCCGCTAACACTTGCTATTGGTGAATCTAAGCTTATAAAATATTTGCAGGAGGAATTCGACCAGGCAGTATGGATGTATCGATATGCACTGACATTCGACGAAAACTTCAAGCCAGCTAAGGCGTGCCTCCACGCCACAATGTGTCTCATGCTTTTCGGAGACGGAAGCAAAGGAGAAACTAAAAAATAATATTTCAAAATAGTCCATAGCAAACAAGGTTATATTCATTTAAATAAAACACTTTAACCGTGACAATGGCTGCTGCAAAGCATCCGAAACGTCGGGCCGTAGTCAAAAATAATTTTTAAATAAGTTTGACTAATATATATGGCGTTTCAACCGTTAAAGTGTTTTATTTAAATGTGTACTACTCGCGTAAACTACCGAGGTTATACTCGTTCAAAAACTTTATAGCTCAAAATTTTATGCATTTACTTTTGAGATAGAAGTGTTTACTCCAATTTTAAGTAAACAACATAGTTAAATCTTAACGTTAATAAAACAGAGGCTATGTTCCCAATGAACAAATTGTATTAAATAAGCTCTTTCGAGGCGGTTTTCCTATTGTAATGATAAGAATACAAAGTAGTAGTATATAAAGAAATGAAATAATATCCATAATAATCCATAAGTTAATAAGATTTGACAAATCAAGGCATTCATCTGTAAAGATTGTAAGGCAAGGGCGGATTTAACTTTCTGGAACTTGACATGGCTTGGCACGAAGGCAATATTTTTTTTGGTAAAATACTTCAAGTATGAAAATAACAAAATAATAATAAACAAACTACGGTATTAAAAAAAAAAAACTGAATTAGAATTTTAAAAATTTTACAAGAACAAATTTAAACAAACAAACTCTTCAGCTTTATAATATAAGCGACTCCTAATAAATCCGCCCTTGGTGATTTTGTAACAGTTTTATATATGTTATGCTATTATTATATACTTATTTTTGTTTTGCATATTTTTTTTTAATTTCTTGTTTAATTGGTGTCAAAAATATGATTTACATTATGTATTTCAAAAACAATTATATATCAAACAGCTTATAGCCACCACGAGGTTGTTTAAAATACGCTTTCATACATTTACCATTCCAATCAATGATTCTTGTTGTAGTTATAATGGGAAACAAGACAATTGTTTATATAAAATGGTGTATAAAATATAAATGAAACAGTACTATCTGGTTTTTATTGTATTTCATCTCCCTTAAAAATAAATTAAAATGTGACAGCTACAAATAAAAATAAATCTAAGAAATAGGTTAAGATATCCTTATTGAGTTTTAACAAGAGTTGAATCTACGTTCAAAAATTCTGCAAGGCTTGGTTTGGGCTATTCGGCCAATGTGAGCGAGGAGAGGTTTTCGAAGTTTCGCCATCACGAGCGGACGACATCATCAGGAGATTTTAGCTCGATTGCTTAATTATTCGAGCATAATAAGCGATATGTATAAAATTTTGCCCCTCAACGCCGTTCAAAGGCAATACACAAAAGTGTCAATTAAAAAAGTAGTAGAACAAATTACAAAAGTATCATAAAATAAAACACTTTTCACAGTTTAAAACGCGATATATTAAAATCTGCTATGCAAGCGCCATCTCTTTCTTCGTAGTTGGTACTTGCATAAATCAGCTGATTCCTTACTAGATAGACTCATGTGTCCTGGTTATTGGTGACGCCACCATGTTTAGTTTACCGCGACCACGATCATTTACGACAAATAGCAGTTAACACTTTATTTATTTGTTCATATTTTTTTGATTTTGACGATTATCCCACAATAGTGTACGAGTTTTCTTCTGCAACTATGCCGTAATGTAATTATTTAGCCATTTTCGTAGTTCTGTTTAATTCATGTTGTTGTATGAATGAAAAGTAAATTCCTAATTTTACTATGTATTAGTACAAACAGTTAAAGAAATCGCAAAGCGGTTAATCTTTGCCGTTTTCTGTACCCTTGCAACCTATAAAACATGCTATAAAACAGTTTACCCTGTGTATCCAGCGTTTACCATACGAATTGTTCGTAAGCGGCATTTTGTTCGTGGGTAAATATCTACAGTTATCTCTAATAAATCATTATAAAATTACAATCCGATATATATGCCGGGGTTATCATGAACTTGTTATTGACACACACTTCTTGTATCATTTCACTTCCAGAAATGTTTACCCCCATGTACACGGTACTACATTTCAATAAGTCAATAAGTCTACCTTAATTTTGGTGTGGTAACCTTACCTATACTAAAATTAAAAACATAAGCGTTTGTCGTTTTAAACACGCTTATCTCAGAAACTACTGGTTTAAATTTATAATATATTTCTATGTAGCCTAGAACATTGACACAAATGATCTAAAATTATGTCCGTAACAGTACATGTCTATATTTTACGATAAACATGCAAGAACCATGGGACGCGGACGACGTCGTGGCGTCGGCGAAGTCGTAACTGTTATTTATAAAGATGATTCCCAAATTTTGATGCCCAAATAACTATTCTCGGACGAAGTAGCTGGCCAGGCCTGCTGGCAAAGCAGGGCTTAAATAGAGAACTACAAACTTGTAATTGGCCCTAAAAACAATTCCCAGGGGCTCCCTTCAAAGCACCGTAAAGGGCTGGTTGTTTAGTGCTTCTCATCGGTTATACGATTTACCACACTCCCCCCCGCCTATTGCCCGACGTGAGCGTGCATTAGGCATTCACACCATCAGGCCCTTAAAACAAATATTGATCGACTAATATTCGTATAGCAAAGTGTTGCAAAATATGTATTTATAATTAAAATAAAAATCCGAAGTCTCGTCTTAATTGCTCGCGATGTAAAAATAATTCTTAAGTACTTACGATAGAGCTAAATATAGTTAATCTAAGGTAATCAAATCCAATAATGGCGTCCAGTGTGTTGCATCGTTGTATATGAAGCACCCACAATAACTATTGGAACACGCACAAGAGTATTCCACGATTACTAGTCCTGTGCAGTGACCAATAGTTGTTTTGGGCTTCATCGAGACATCTTCAGCGATGTTTTCCGGCGTAGCTGAAATTAGATAACGCGTTAGTCAAAGTAAAAAAATAAATAAAATAAAAATAAACAGTCCATAGTACAAACTTACTAATAATAAGATTAGGTACATAATGGGTATGGAAAAATGGACAACATAACGAAACATATTACATTTTATACAAGTACAGATTATACACACGAAAAATTTAGTTAAATAAAACAACTTGAACGATTTAAAATACGAATGAGTGTAGTACAATTTTATTCAGTAAGTAGGTAGTACTTAGTTTATAGATTTTTTTTGAAACGGTACCTTGGTCAACAAGTATTTTTTTTAAACCGTTAAAAGTGTTTTATTTATGATCTACTTCTCGAACAAAATACAGACACGATCACAATATACTATACACATACAAATTATTTTGTTAATAAAATACAACTGAGGTAAGGTAATAATGTTATTCCTAAATCTAGAATAAATGAAACTTTAATGCAAAAGTCCAATTTCCAGCTACAGAAACTCTTTTGACAGCGAAACAGGAAAGCGCTCATTTGTCAACAGTTACAAAAGTTACAAGACCTTATTTTAATCTGTTAAATAATCTTAACATATAACTTATACCGAAAATACTCGAATCGTTAAGTTTTTATCTTATTATTTAGATAAAAACCTAAATACCACTACCAATACACCTAGACTTAAGATTAACAAGAAATTTAATAGATCACAGAGCTTCAGTAGCATCAAATTTAAAAATGATTTTATTAGTAAGTCTATTTCAATTGCATTTAATTACATATTAAAAGTTTCTTTAACATTCAGAAGAGGTACTTTTTAGTGGGGCTTTTAAAAAAAATTAAAAAACTTAAATAATATTACTCATCCATTGTTTAAAATGATGAATGACGTTAAAAATTAATAAAATTCTTTATGAAGTATTTAGTTTTAATGGCAATTTAAACCTTGTGGTATGCAAAATAGCTCTTGGTGACAATATTTTTTTTAATTAAATAAATAAATAAAATTTTGGGTAATAATTAAGATATTACTGCATATAATATCTAAAATATTACCTATTAAGAGACAAACAACAAATATTAAAAAAAATGAATGAATAGCAAATACTCTGTGTTTCTAATCCATCCGTTAAAATACTACGCGATAGTCACTCCCTACTTAAATACGTTCTAAATTCTAAATCAATATCGTATCGTAGTTAGTCATCTAAACAATCTAAACTTGCCATTGGTTTATAGAGCAAATTTACTCACTCTGCTGTAGAAGTTATGAAAAATGGTATGAAAGCACTTTATTGAAAAATTTGCTTAAAAGTTCAAAACATTTTAACGGTTTACAATGCGAAAAATACGTTTAACTATAACCCGATATTTCTTATGTTTTGCAGCAGCCCTGATAAATCTTGGGCGTCCCTAAGTCTTTATTGACTAAATAAGTCAATTTCGCGTATTAAATCAGAAAAAACTGTTGTTTAAATTAGTAAATATCATTCGCGTAATGACAATGCTTGCTTATAGCTATTCAAGTATAGGATAATAGAAGTCTTCATTAAGTTCTTGATAGATAAAGTAGAAGTAGAGCTTTCTTCAAACGCAGGTTATGAAAGGCCCGCAATAGCCGCTGTCACACGCACAAGAGTATACGAACTAATCTTGTGCCGTGGCCAGCAGCTGCTTTGGGCTTCATTATTGTCTTCCATCGGAAAACGAAGCTACATATGTCGTCGCAGGCTAAAAGCTACAGCTGCTATACCCGCTTACATAACCAAGCACCTCTAAGTAAAAGATTGAGTGATTGACCGCTGATTTTTAAAAGTTTAATGTATTTAGACTAAATTCAATACAAAGTCGATTGGTTTTTAACCGGTCCAGGTATATTCCCACATTGTATTTGTTTCTGATAAGAGATGCAGCGTTTGGAATATCTAGATAATTGTAATATCGAATTTGTGTCCGCGTCACGAACCAGCGTCTTTAAGCGAAAAAATGAAAGCGCGTTTCGATTTCAAGGAATTTCCGAATATCTACCTAAAAGAGGTCGCATCTTGATTAAATGTTATAACACTGGAAAATTTCACTATCTATCAAAATGTTGTTGTCATTAAAAAAGGGATCTATTTTTTGGTCACATGATACTATATTGGGTGGA